AAAAAGGACGACTGGGAATAGGTAATATTAGTGGATCAATACAAAGCTACAAATAAAATAGAAGATTTAGTTTAATGAAAAAAGAACCTCATTCAGGAATTACACTGACCGTAATCTTCACTTTTTTGTCGGCATCGTTGGACATACGCAGTGTGGATTCTTTTATTAGAGAAATGAAATCGGATATCCGAGAATTCGTTGCCCTTTTCAATCTCATCTTCTTCACGGACATCCTGAGCGTCCAACAGTTCTACAATAACGGCATATTTAAGCAATTTCTTAGAGCACGATCACGTTGATATTTCATTTACCTTTTAAGGTACTCTATGAGGGGCAATCCAAAGGGGTGACAACAAGGTCCCCGATAGGATTGTGAGGATGCAAAATTTAAAAGACATTCTTTGCCATGTGCGAAGTGAATGGATCCGCCGCTGCAAAAGCGTGCCCCCTCACTACACAGAGTGCAAGGAAAGTGGGGTGGAGAGTAGTTAGACCAAGATGCCGTCTCCTTCGTTCGCCTGCGCTGCCGCACGGCCAGTCACATGCCTGACCATTGCCAAACGCGCTACTTGCCAGCGCATTCTCACTTACGGTCGCTCTCCTCCTCTGACTACGTGTTCTCGTGTGGTATAGTACCGAAACTGCACCTCGAGGAAAGCGCGGGCGGAGTCGGGAGGCGGTACTCGAGTACCGGTACATCTCAGACCTGCTCCCGCGCACTTTGTAGCGGAGAAAAAAAGTGTGCTAGGCTACGGACCCATTCGTCTCGCACATGGGAAGGACCTCCTTCGGAGGTGCGTGTGCATTTTGCCTTCAACGAGAAGACTGAAGTCGTCAAGACTGTCTTTAATTTGATATGGAGATATATTGAAATACAGATTCCAACCAATTTCTGCACATTTTTAGAGAACCTTGGCATAAGTATTACTATCCCCAATCGCTGAATTATCCATGAGAAGCGGGACAAAAGGGGGAACAGCATCTCACTGCTTTTGTTACAGAAAGAGAAAAAACGAACTGTGGGGTCCAAGATCGTTTGCGTGGATGTAAATATGGCCTCCATGAGCTATCAGCGTATGTGCAATCAGTTTCGCTCCTACATTTCCGAGCAGGCCTTCACTTTTAGCAACATGCTGGAATGAAACCTCCTTAGAACGGAACTCTACACCAATGAAACTTAGGTGAGGCACGCCGCACTGTGAACACGCCAATGCGGCAAATTATTAAAACTAACGTTTATTTCCAACATCACATTCCGTCCTTGAAGGAGGTAAGATGACAAGCACACCGATCTGAAGGAGTCACGTAGAAGACGTAGCCGTGTGCGTGGGAACTCAACAGACGAGGATTGAAAGGGGGTCAAAAGACAAGATCAGTGAGAATAAAAAAACCATATTCCATCGTCCTTTCGGAACTGGAGTGGCCCACACAAGACGCGTAGTAGGATATGTCGCATTGCCAGAAAATACCATTAAGTACAGTATTACTAGACCTCTGCAATCTACAAAACTGCTGAGGAGAAATCAGTTTTTTGAAGCATCTAACAGGGGATATACAAAATGGTTGACATTCGTATATCTTCCCTCAAACGCGAGCAGGCCTTTGCCGCAACCCGAAAACGCACACGTTTGACCTGTATGGTAACCACACACCACGCAGTGGATGATGAAAATCCTACAGCATTCGTTTGATCAGAAGGCCCGGAGCCATCAGACGCCCGGAGCGCGCGCTATAGCTGTCTGCGCCTGAGGCACTCGCTCTACAGGCGCCAACAACCAATACCATACGGATATGATGTTCGTGTTCAGGGCTTAAATTACTCCTGATGCAAATTTCCACCGAACTTGCCAGCCTGATGTTTTTGCGCGCCGTTTTTGAGCCAAACAGATGGGAGATTTGCTTTCCAATAGTTCGGGAATCTAGAAGTCCAAGGGCAAATCATTAGCCAAATCTATCCACGGGGATTCGATTAAATCTAGACCGAATTCAGAAAGGTGAGGTAGCAAAAGGTAAAACATTCTGAATAGACTCATGAACCTCGTTCAGGTGAAAACGGAAGCAGGAGCATACCTTCTGTACTGTTGGCCGTGACAAGCCCTAGCCGTTCCAGTTGTCCATGAGCTTCCCTTCTGTGCAACAATTCCACGTCATAATTTATCGCGATCGCAGGCTGACCTTGTTGAGCTTCTTCCTGTATAAAAGAGAATGCTGAACTGATTAGAAGCCATAGTGTCATACTGAGTCTGCCACTGAGTTAATTTGATGAATATTAAACGCTAGTAAAAACCAATCAACGCGAGCTGGCGACTATAACTGCTTATTAAGGCTTGCATCAGCTTCCCGTAGACGACCTCCTCTACGGAAACGAGGACACAAAAATAAGGAGCACATTTCGGAGCGTAAATAGCTTCGAATAGTAACATAGCCGCACAACATATCACAGCTAGGACACGAATGCACTCTTCTAGATGCTTTGAAAACGAAAATGCGCAAAGGAACTGGACCTGGTCGTCCACAGCACAGAGGCATACAGACCCC